GTGACATATTCGTAAGCCATGAACCTGCTTGTGTTCCCTCTCTCGCTGTGTCTCTCTGTCAAATAAACAAAATCTTAAAAAAAAAAAAACATAAAGCAGTAATAAAAAATGGGTAAGCTACTGTCATACTTAAAAACGTGGATGTATTTTAGCAACAAAGTTGAATGAGAAAGAGGGATTCCAAGAAGACTAGCATCGGTATGTTAGTCTTCTGTTTAAAAAAAAAAAAAGCAATACTGTTGAATCACAGATCTGTACCTCTGAAACAAATAATGCAATATATGTTAAAAAAAAAAAAAGATAGCAGGAGGGGAAGAATGAAGGGGGGGAAATCGGAGGGATAGACGAACCATGAGAGACGATGGACTCTGAAAAACAAACTGAGGGTTCTAGAGGGGAGGGGGGTGGGGGGATGGGTTAGCCTGGTGATGGGTATTAAAGAGGGCACATTCTGCATGGAGCACTGGGTGTTATGCACAAACAATGAATCATGGAACGCTACATCAAGAACTAATGATGTAATGTATGGTGATTAACATAACAATAAAAAATTTAAAGAAAAAAGGTTAAAATGGTAAATTTTAGGCTATATATGTATTTTAACCACAATAAAAAATTTTTCAATACGTTTACATACACAAAGATGTGATTCCTTGTTGGAAATGGCTATGGCTTACCACTGGGAGTCCAGTGGTATCTTCCACTTAATGAAAAGTCCCACACAATAGCTTTACAACCAAGTTCAAACAACTTCATCCTATAAAACTTCTTAGGCTAACTTCTTAGGCTTCTTAGGCTGACTCTTCCAAGTATGGCCAACAAACTTCTAATCCTAGCAATTTTTTTCTCTTGTTAGGATGAGAGCAGGAACAGAAGTTATTCTGCCTTGGTTTCCCTAATACTCTAATTTAATATACGTGGCACAATTTCTCTTGATATTATATTGAATATCATTAATATTTAGAGGTAAATAAAAGTCAGCGATTAAGAAAAAAAGCAAAACTAAACAATATATTCTTAGACATGCACATGTCTTCAATAAATTTTTTTTAATTTTTTATTGTTATGTTAATCACCATACATTACATCATTAGTTTTTGATGCAGTGTTCCATGATTCATTGTTTGTGCATAACACCCAGTGCTCCATGCAGAATGTGCCCTCTTTAATACCTATCACCAGGCTAACCCATCCCCCCACCCCCCTCCCCTCTAGAACCCTCAGTTTGTTTTTCAGAGTCCGTCATCTCTCATGGTATGTCTCCCCCTCCAACTTACTCCCCTTCACTCTTCCCCTCCTGCTATCTTCTTCTTTTTCTTTTTTCTTAACATATATTGCATTGTTTCAGAAGTACAGATCTGTGATTCAACAGTCTTGCACAATTCACAGCGCTCACCATAGCACATACCCTCCCCAAAGTCCATCACCCAGCCACCCCATCCCTCCCACCCCCCACCACTCCAGCAACCCTCAGTTTGTTTCCTGAGATTAAGAATTTCTCATATCAGTGAGATCATATGATACATGTCTTTCTCTGATTGACTTATTTCACTCGGCATAACACCCTCCAGTTCCATCCATGTCGTTGCAAATGGCAAGATCTCATTCCTTTTGATGGCTGCATAATATTCCATTGTGTATATATACCACATCTTCTTTATCCATTCATCTGTCGATGGACTTCTTGGCTCTTTCCATAGTTTGGCTATTGTGGACATTGCTGCTATAAACATTGGGGTGCACGTACCCCTTCGGATCCCTACGTTTGCATCTTTGTGGTAAATACCCAGTAGTGCAATTGCTGGATCGTATGGTAGCTCTATTTTCAACTGTTTGAGGAACCTCCATACTGTTTTCCAGAGTGGTTGCAATAAAATTATTTTTTAAAGTAATGATGAGCTAGGGATTTGTGATGGTGGTTTCCACCAGGTGAAGAAGCTGAGAGACGGGTTCTCAGGGGAGCATCTACGTAGATGTGTGTTTTTGTCAATATTTCTTGGAGACAATAGGGGGTTCTTTTTTTTGGGATACTTTTTTCTATTACAAAAGTAAATCAACAAATAAGTATATAATTAAGGAAAAACATAGCTGGACCAATTTATAATAGTTTCAATACAGCTCTGTGATTTGGATATAAAATTAAATTATTTAAAAGGAGAGAAATAGAGCAGGTTAACAACTAATATCTCTGGATATTGGAAGTATGCTTTTTAAAAAATCGAGGTGAGACTTAGAGGATTGAAGATGGACTACTGACTGACAAGACCCAAATTGCTGTCGCGTCTGATAAGAGCTCTTTTAGTGGCGGGCTGGGAGAACAGGCTGGAGGAAGTAAAAACATGTCTGTCCATGTACCTGTGTTCTCTGTTCTCCTGTCCCCCTCTAGATGCTGAAATACACTGGCTTTGTGCATTTTTAAATAGACTGGATGAAGGATGCAGGAGATCTGCCTGTACTATTTTTGCAGTTTCTTGTGAATCTATAGTTATTTCAGAAACAAAGCAAAACTACCCAGGTGATTCCCAGTCTAAGAACCAGTGATGCAGGGCAACTGTTAGAAAACCTTAGGATGTATTAGAATCCCCCTTTAAATGGAGTGCAGGACTCCACCGCCAGGCTTCTGATTCAGTAGGTTTGGGCCTGATTGTTATTCAATTTTTTTAATTTAATTTTATTATGTTATGTTAGCCACCATACAGTACATCATTAGTTTTTGATGTGGTGATCCACGATTCATTGTTTTCGTATAACACCCTATGCTCCATGCAGAACGTGCTGTGCCCTCCTCAATACCCATGGGTGTTATTTAATTCCTAACAAGGATCATGGTTGTGTGGATGCAGCAGGTGGAGGTCCACACCCAGAGGGTAGAATGGTTGATCATACTTGCCCCACTCACCCTCTTCCTAAATCCTAACCATATCCTGGAGGCATGGAGATATCCGCGGGGGCAGGGGAAGCAGTGTTCATCCTCTTTGTGTCAGCCACACATTAGGATCACCCGATGCCCCGGCCACCCCCCAAACCAGCCAAATCCTCATCTCTGGGTGTGGCTCCCACCGGTGGCTTTTTAACTCTCCAGGCGCCTCCAACATGCAGCCAGATTGGAAAATGGGGCTGCAAAGAAACTTCGGGTGAAGTTAATTGATGAGTTAATTCGGGTGAAGTTAACTGATTAAGGTAAACGAGCAGGTTGTATCATGAAAACATTTTCTAGGTCTGGTGAAGGAAGTCAGACTTAATCACCAAGATGGAGAACCACCTCCCACTCAGCTGCAAGACTGCTCAGAGCCTGGTCTGGATGAACAGCGAGTCCACAGGCACCACTGGGACCCTGCCCCGGGGAAGGACCTTAAACCCTCCTCCTTAAACAGGACTTTTGTAAATGGGCCACCCCTGTGGGAAGGGACAGACTCGGAGCTCTGAGGGTTACTGGACCCAACCTACGAGCTATACCCGCTTTTCTCAAAATTTCCCAAGACCAAAAACATCCCTATCACTGGGAATCTTTTTTTTTTTTTTTTTTAAGATTTTATTTATTTGACAGAGAGAGACACAGCGAGAGAGGGAACACAAGCAGGGGGAGTGGGAGAGGGAGAAGCAGGCTTCCCGCTGAGCAGGGAGCCCAACGCAGGGCTTGATCCCAGGACCCTGAGATCATGACCTGAGCCGAAGGGAGACGCTTAACAACTGAGCCACCCAGGCGCCCCTCACTGGGAATTTCTTTAAAGTGCAGATTCTCAGGACATCAAAAACGGAAGATCTGAGAGACTCACTACCAAGAGGAGTCTAAGGAAGCATCAGGAAATGCAGCGTGGGATCCTGATGGGAGGCTGGGACCTGATATTACAGGAAAAGCAAGGAAATCAGTCAAGTATGGGCCTTTATCTGAACGTACTAAATCCATAGATGTGCCATCCTAACGCACAAGCTTAATAGATGAAATGGTGTGGGACATAGGGCAATCGTATGGACTTGAGAAAAATTACACGTTACCAAATTTAGCAAAATACTGAGGGTGCAGATGACAAAGAGATTTGAACAGGCAGAGCACAAAGGATTTTTAGGGCAGAAAACTACTCTGCATGAGACCATAACGGTGGGTGCACGTCATGCATCTGTCTAAACCCAGGGAAGGCACAACACTGAGTGACCCCTGTACTCTGGGCTTTGGGGGACGATAACATCAGCGTAGACTCATAATTTGTAGCAAACGTACCACTCTGGGGGGGGATGCTGATGGTAAGGGAGGATGTGTTTGAGTGGGGACAGGGGGTCTCTGGGAAATCTCTGTACTTTGTGCTGTTTTGTTGTGAAACTAAACCTGTTCTAAAAAATGTCTTTTTAAAAAAAGTTGGGGGTGGGCGCCTGGGTGGCTCAGTTGGTTAAGCGTCTGCCTTCGGCTCAGGTCATGATCCCAGGGTCCTGGGATAGAGTCCCCCATCTCTTCTTCCTCTGCATGCCGCTCCCCCTGCTTGTGGTTTCTCTCTCTCTGATACATTAAAAAAAAAAAAAAAAAAAAAAACTTAAAAAAAAAGTTGCTCAGTGATTATTTGATAAATGATTCAGAATGTGTTTATACTTAAAACGTGTTCATCTGAAATTCAAATTTCACAGGGTATCTCCTATTTAATCTGGCCACCCTACTTGGATCATCCTATTTTACAAGGAAAGGACAACAGGAGAACAATCTGCAGCCACAATTTTATAAGGAAATATTGAAAACAAGACTTGCCTTAATTCAGGAATAGCAACATAAACCAAAAAGCTTAGGAGGAAACAATAGGACATAATAAAACAGAAAACGAAAACCAACAGGGAAGATGTCATCATTCCAAGATCCTCATAATTAACGTTTACGGAACATCTGTTGTGTTCCAGAAACCTTTTAAGTGCTCAAGACGTCCCGTGTCATTTTTACAAAAATCGGTGAGAGATCACCATTAACTTCCTTCTTGGGGCAGATGGGACTTGGACCCGATCAGGGACTCGTCAGGAAGTCACTTTGCATGTGTTTTTTGGTGGCGTTTAAAAGTTCCCAGCTGACGAAAGGCACATTTACACTCGTGACACGTGTAGGGTTTTAATCCCGAGTGGGTGCGTCGGTGGACGTTGAGGTTCCCTTTGTGGCTAAAAGTCTTCCCGCAGTCTTCACACGGGTAAGGCTTCTCCTTTGTGTGGACCCTCCAGTGACTCCGCAGGGTGGAGTCGTGGGTGAATGTCTTGTGGCAGAGGTCACAGGAGTATGGCTTCTCGCCTGTGTGGATTCGCTGGTGGACTCGGAGGTCTGAAGTCTGCATGAAACCCCCAGAACAGGTATCGCATTTGAAAGGCCTCTCTCCCGTGTGTGTCCTCCAGTGAATGTAAAACTGGGACTTATAACGAAATCCTTTCTTACATATGCTGCATAGGGCTGGTGTCTGTCCTGTGTTTTTTTTCCCAACAGGATGGACCAAATGGGACGCAGGTTGAGCTGAGACTTCTCCTTTGGCAAAATATGGGGTCCCCTCTTGGGGCAACTCTTTGGAAATGGAGGTGTTGTCCAGTTTTCTTCCTTTGGGATTTCTTGGACTCTTCTGAGAATCTCTTCCGTTCCCACTCTGAGTGGAAATTTGTCTCTCTGAAAGGTGGGTGGGAGGTGTGTCGGCATCCACATTCGTAATACCGGTTCCTTCTTGGAGATTCTTCCCACCTTCCGCCCTCGTAGAATCTGTTGAACAAGGGTTAACACACAACACTTAATAAAGAGCATTTTTTTTAAAGATTTTATTTATTTATTCATGAGAGACAGAGAGAGAGAGAGAGAGAGAGGTAGAGGGAGAAGCAGGCTCCCACGGAGCAGGGAGCCCGATGCGGGACTCGATCCCAGGACCCTGGGATCATGACCTGAGCTGAAGGCAGACGCTTAACCATCTGAGCCACCCAGGCGCCCAATAAAGAGCATTTTCAATGATATCAACCTCGTTTGAACCGAGCCCACTGCTGTGGGCTGAGAACTTCCCATCAACCAACAAACCTGGGATGGGGTTGTACGTAGGACACTGTGGACAGTCAGCGATAGAGAAGACTTGACATTTCAGAGCTCCCTCCCCAGCATAGGTAGAAGTCACTAACTCCTCTGAATTTCCAGTTTCCAATGCTCACCAGGACCCTGCAGAAGCTGAGGCTCTTGGGATGTCAGTATCGTTGTCTCTTCCAGATCTTCCATCAGATTCTTCTTCAAGTTCTCCGTGGGTCTCAGACCCTCCCGTACACCTTTCCCAGGAATGGTCTCTGGCAGGAGAACGTTCTGTCCCTGACAATGGGCAACCAAATGTAGTTACCAAAGTGTCTAACTTGGGGTGTGGGAAGCTCTTGTCTCCTCTTTCCCCATCCTGCCCATCTCCCTAATCTGAGACACCAACTTTCTCAATAGTACAGTGTGTGGATGTGTCCAGGCTTCCTCTGGGCCACTCATCACTCCCTGTCGTTAACCAGTACCCACCGCACCTTTAAATCACGTCCACACATCGCAGCCTTTACACTTAATTCTCTAAGCACTCACCCGGCTTCCCCTGCCCTTACTCAGGAAGCAAGGTGGCTCTAGGTCCAGGTGTCCCTACTCAGCACTACTGATATTTTGGTTGGATGATTCCCTGTTGTGAGGCTGTCCTGTGCATTGTGGGATGATCGATTGTAGCAGCATCCCTGGTTTCTACCCACTAATGTCAATTCCATCCTCCAACCCCACCTCCATTCTGACAACCGAAAAGGTCTCCGGACATTTGCAAATGTCTTCCAGAGGCAAAACGACTCCAGGTGAGAACCACTCCCTTAACATAAGGTATTGACTATATTTCCCAAAACGTGTCCTTTGTCCGATTGTCATTTCATGGGATGCCTGAGGAAATCGGCTATGGAAAAATCAGCCTTCAGTTCATTACCCCATGGCAAACTAACCTAGCACCATTTCATTGAGACTATTTCTTTCTTCCCACCCTTAACCCTAAAAGAGCTTCAATGGCAGATGGGCAAAGGCTGAGGAGTCTTCATTCTCCAGAGGCTCAGAGATATCTATGGGCTTGATGCAGTCACGGGAATCCCTAGGGTCAATGGGTCCAGTTCTGTGCTCTGCCACTATCCCAAATATTCCAGCAGCTACCCCCCACCGCTTCTTCCCGTACCTTCTGCCACTGCTCCCTAGAGATCGGGGAGGGTGTCACACTCACCTGCCCCGTTGACGGTTCATTGACTCCTGGCAGATTCTGCAGCTGTCTGCTGACTTTCTGGCTGTCCTCTGGATGTGTCTCACTCACAAAGGATTGGGGCTTCTTGGACAAGTCCGTCACGAGGTCCATGTCACTGACCTCAGCTTCGGCCATCTGAGCATCTGACCTTTGCACAAGAAATTCCTGTCCTTGTAAGGTGACTATGGTCTGTGGGGGCAAGAATCAACCAAGATCAGACTCACTGAGAACCGGAACGTAGCTCTGAGACTCCCTGTGTGAAGCTACCATACACTCACACTTTATTGGAATTACTTGTTTAAAACCTCAGCTAATACTCAGCCCTCAAACCATCATCCTAAAGCATGCCTTGTCCACTCCCGACCTCGAGCACGTGAGGTGTGGTGCAGTGAGAAATCCAGCGCCGCGCCCAAGTGAGATTTCACACGCTTGGCTTCCATCTCATTCAGCTGGTCTTAAGAATTCCTTTATCTGTCATCCCAGATTAACATCTTAGAGTTGCCATGGCTATTTTCCCACAATGTTGCCAAAGCTCCTAATTCCCATTCTTGGCTCACCCCTGGAGAATTTCATCGCCTACTGGAGTGCTCAGGGAAGGGAGGATTGCCACGTTGGACCCAGTTCCCTCCTGCCCACTTACAAAATTACCTACAGAGGAGCCTGTCTCCCCATGACTGGTGCTGCACCAGGTCCCATCCCCTCCTAGATCCTTCAGACCCTTGCTTTTTCTACAAAGCATACAGGCGCCCTCCAGCCACCATGATGGAAAATGTTCCAACGTAAGGTCTTACCTGGTCTGGAGAGTCTTACCTGCGAGCCGTTTTGACCGCTCTCGGAGGGACATTTGGCAAGCACCAGGATTTCGTTTTGTTTTTGACTTTCACAACTGGGGGAGGTTGCCATCGACATCAAGGATGCCACTAAACACTACGATGCCCAGGGAAGCCCCCAAGGATGATCCACCCCAGTATCACTAGTGGATTTGAGACCCCCATCAAATTAAAAGCCTACCATCCCACACTCCTCCTTTCCTCAGCATCATCCCAGGACTCTAGTTACCATGACAACGTAGCACCCCTCTCTGTAAACTGTAGCCACTTTACTCAGGTAGGACCACTTTTAAGAGGGTCTCTGGCGATGTCAAGAATTGTAAATGCAATGGATTGGACTGGTTTCAGGCTCCTTTCTCCTGGAGCCTCTGGAACGTCCCTTACACAACTCTCTTCCACGAGAGGTCGCGTGGGGCGAATGATGGCAAAGTGCATAGACTCCTGAAACCCACCAGATGCTAGTAACCTCCCATCTCCTCCCTGTCGTGACAGCCAGAAATGTCTCTGGACATTGCCGAGTGTCTCCTGAGGGGCACACTGTTTCCCACACTGACTCAGAAGAAAGCCCCCATGTCCTTTCTAGTCCAAGGGCACCGTGCAGCCCCCACACCAGCTCCCCCTTCCCTGTTCCCGTCAGGAAGGCCCTGCTCACCCATTTCTTGGGGGTCTGGTTGCTTCTCAGCAGGTCCCGCAAGTCTTTGCAGCTCTGCACACCACTTTCCTTGACTAAGACCTGAAGCTCCTGAGGCATGGAGATCATAAACTGCTCCATCACCAGCATGTCCAGGATCTGCTCCTTGGTGTGAAGGTCCGGCCTTAGCCACAGGTAGCAGAGCTCACAGAGCCTCCCCAGGTCGTCGAGGGGGTCCGACTCCTCGGAGCTCGTAAATGCCCTGAAGCTCAGGTGCCAAGTCTCACAGGTGCTGTCTTGCCCTCCAGCGAGGGCTCCTGGCGGTGGTACAGACTGCAGCAGCTCCGACCCGGGGCTGCCTTGGGGTTTCTCCTGACCCCCTGAAAATGTCTGGTCTGTAGCCATATTGACCGGAGAATTTTCCAATATGACTCTGCAAACTCTCTAGAAGCTGGTGCCTAATTAAGACCTACCTAAAGGGATTTACTCTGGTTTTCCTCAGCAAGGGACCCGCTGCTTGTTCAGAAGGCTGGGGGGAAAAAAGAATGAACCACATTAGTTTAACTTCTTACCCACCCCCTCCCCTCCAAACCCTTCACCCCAACACTAGACACCGTCCCCAACTGTTCCTGTATTAAATACCGTGGAAAGTAACCCCCACTATTATTTTTCCAATGTCCACCTTTATAGTAAAAGGTGGTTTCAATGTCTGAATGGCCCCCTAGATTCTGAGCTGGGCTCAGTTTTCTCATCTGTATGTTGGGACAATATCATTCTTTGTGGAATACAGAAAAATATTTACAACCTGAGAATTTCATGTGGTGTAGTAACACTGGAAATATTAATGTAAGATTGTCCCCCAACACATTTCCTTGTTGATCCCAGGATATTGCTTTGTTCCAGGAAAGGGAGGACTCAAAAGAATCCTAACGGGATTAACAGATAACTTTGTTACTGCGGTAAGATACACGTAACACAAAATTCACCATTTTTAACTCTTTTAAAATGCACAACTTTGCGGCACTACTCACCTTTGCAGTGCTATGCAACCATTCACCGCTGTCTAGTTCCAGAATTTATTCATCCCCAAAGGAAACCCTGTCCGCCTAGGGCAGGCACTGCCCCCTTCCCCACCCCCAGGCAATCTGTTAGTCTGCTCTCAGTCTCTATGGGTTAAATACTTAATCTCATCCCAGAAAACGGATTTAAAATCCAATGCTCTTTGAAATTTTCAAAAGCAAAATTTTGAGAGAGAAGAGCTTTTAGGAGGTTCTCAACCTAGCTTCCAAAGGCAAGACCCACCCTGATAATCTGCAGATACCCATTTTATTCCAAGAACAACAGCTACGTGGGGTTTCTGCCTTCGGTTTAGGTAATGATTCCAGGATCCTGGGATTGAGCCCTGCTCAGCGGGAGCCTGCTTAACCCCTCCCCCCTGCCCCTCCCCCCTGCTTGGCACGTGCTCTCTCTCCCAACTAAAAATCTAAAAAAAAAAAGAACAGCTACAGAAAGAATGCAACCCACACTTTCCTTCTAGTGAGAGGTCAGGGGTCAACCTGAGGAAGGGATGAAGACTGGGGGTACTCAGCAGGCCCCTGAGAGCCACGTGGCACCCAGGTAGAGAAAGGGGCTTTAATCCCCGCTGGGCTAGTTGGTTGATAAAAAGTCCTTATTTAAAGGTTTGGTTTTTACCCCATGGAGAGCAAAAACCTGGCGATGTGTTTTTAAGCAACAGTATGGCAAGTTTAGAAATCTCAGGAGAACCACGTGCCACACGGAATTCAAATAAGCTAATACATTTGCCTAAAATCCCTAATAGTCAACTTTTGTCCTATTTCAGATCATTGGGGAAGGCTACTTCAGCCCAGTGTGGTTTTAATCCCGTGTTTTAGCTTCAGTTAGCTGTTAGGCAAGTCAATCAGCTCTTGGGAGACCATAATCCTTCTTCCATAACTTGGGGACGATAAAACCCACCTCTTACATTGTCCGAGGCTAAAATAAGAGGTTGCCGCGCACATGCCCAGCACATCTTTACCCAACGGTAAAAAATGGAGTGACCAACATTTAGAGCTATAATTCTCAACCAAGCGTGACTTGCCCTACTCCCCTTGGCTCCTCAGGACACTGGGCAACATCTGGAGACATTTTTGGATGTCATAACCTGGGCATGGGGGAGGCAGATGGGGGGATACCCCTAAATATCCTACAGTGCACAGGACAGACCCCCAACTCCCCTCCCCCCACACAAAACAACAAAAAAATCATCTGGCCAAAAATATCATCTGAGGCTGAGAAACCCTGGTTCAAAGTATAAACCACACATACCACAAATCAAATCACACCACAATGATTCAAAGTTAATAATGGGGTATAGGAAGATCCTTTGCTTTCACAAGACCTTGGAGCTAATGCATAGTGAATATAGACCCAAATCCTCCTGGTACCAACCTCCAACCGTCCATCCCAGGTTCCAAGCACCCTTAGACGTCCCCACCCGTAACTTACCTCGTTCGCGTCTTCAGGTCTTCCTGCCTCCAGCCTCCTCGCATCGGAGACTCGCTCTCCAACAGCCTTGAGCTGAAATACACAGCTCTGTTTATATACAGCTAGAGAAACCCCAGACTTCCTGTTACCTCATCAGCCCAAAGATTAGTTTAAGGCCATGGAATGAACCACTGTGAAGATGGCCGTGTGGATTACATTTCCCACTGAAACTCCATCAAGAGAAAAAAAAAAAAGGAATTTATTAAATAAGTCTACTTGGAAACAATATTGGTTTTCCTGGTCTACTGAATTACTTATCAAATGCCTGAAGCGTTCAAAGGAGTCAGGGAATGTAGAGCTGCTAGTTTTAAGCACTTTGGGTCAAGATTTTATTTAAAATGAGCTGACAAGGCAAAGCGTGAGAGGTAGGTATTTAGAAAACTAGAGGTTGCATGTGAGTAGAGAAAAGTACAACATCATACCCATTTTGCAGGCCGAGCTTTTCCTAAATGCCGAGGGCAGCGCTAACTCATCAAGTCAAGAACATGTGAAGAGATGGTAGGCTGGTATCAAACCAGTGATTTAATCTAGTTCAGGGGTGCCTGGGTGGTTCAGTCCATGGATCGTGTGACTCCTGATCTCAGGGTTGTGAGTTCGAGCCCTATACTGGGTATAGAGATTACTTAAAAATAAAAAATAAAATCTTTGAAAAAAATAATCTAGCTCAAGCAAAGCTCTAACATATTAATTCCAAGGTATTGAAAAATGAAAAGTAATTATTGATACATAAGGAATAGTTGTGATTTTTTTAAAACTTATTTTTACTATTTTTCAATATCTTGGGATTAATACCTTAAAGCTTTGCTCAAACTAGTTTAAATCACTGATTTGATATGTCAACTTACCCTTTTACAAAAACAATGGAAAGCAGACAAAAGGCCATAGACATGGCTCTGTATTCCTTTTCTCCCTGGGTAGGGAAGGTGGTTTTGAGATACATGAGGCTTCTCTGTGGACCTCTTTGTCCCCCTGAATTAGATCTCATAAATTCTGAAAAGCTATATAATGGTGGGTCTGCATGTTACTGCATGAATTTTAATCAAGGATTCGGCGTGACTGGGTTACAATTTTGGAAGCTCTCCGTGTCCATCAAATCATAACAAATCCATTCAGATAGTGAAGTTTTTTGTGTTGACATTTCACATGAATTGGAAGGCTCCTGGCTTTGGTTGATTCTGGGGGCCCAAGGGAATCTCTAAAACCCTGCAGACCTCAGACTGAGCAGAATGGGGGCTTTCTGGCCACATAAACTACCCTTTCATCCTGAGCCCAGTACATGGGGGACCTGCCACCAAACTGGATTCAGAATCTGACCACTCATCCCCTCACTGCTGCCTCTTCTAATCTCTCCGGGACCTGGACCTTTGCGGCCGCTTCCAGAATGGTCCCCTCTGCCCTCCTGCCCCCGAGGGCTGCGTTCCCCATGGCCCCAGATTCTGTGACGAGACCCCAGCCATACATTTCACTGCCCCCCTCAGAACCGACCCATGGTTTGCAGAGCACTTGGAGGAGAAGCCTTGTCCTTTCTCTGTACCCAGAGGCCTTCAGCATCTCACCTGCACGCTCCCCCTTTCTCAGCCCCCTCCTCAGCTGCCTGAGCAAGACTAGTGTGCTTCTGCTCTGGAACTTTGTCCACAGGGTCTTGCTCCGTGGACTGGAATGCGCTCTGCCCACTGGATGCCAGGAGCACCCCTCGGCTGTGACACCCAGAAATGTCCACACACAGTGCCCAATTGTCCCCTGGACTTGCCCTAGGAGAGAACCTTCATGAACCTGGTTTATTATTTTATTTTATTTTATTTTATTTTATATTTTATTTTATTTTATTTTATTATTTTATTTTATTTTATTTTATTTTAATTTAATTTTATTTTAATTTTCAAGTAGGCTCCACTCCCGGCATGGAGCCCAACGCAGGGGCCTAAACTCACAACCCTGAGATCAAGACCTGAGCTGAGATCAAAGAGTCAGACTCCTAACCGACTGAGCCACCCAGGCATCCAGAGCCTGGTTTATTTTTATTCTTATTATTTACCACCATCATACATATTGTTCATTTACTTGCTTATATTTCCTTATTGCTGGTGTTCCCCAGTATTCACTGCAAGCTTCATAAGATCTGGTGCTCTGTTCCATTTACTGAGTCAGCATTGAGGTCAATGCTTGGGACCTAGAACAGCGTTTGCCCAGTAGATGCTCCATATATAAATACTGATAAATAGATTGGATAGATGACACATAGATATATAGGTAGATACATACACACACACATAGAGGTGACACATCCAAGGTTCTGGACTATTTCTTAAGATCTTCTAATTTTTTCTGCGACTATAGATGACCTCGTATAACTGGTACGGAGGTACTTTTCTTTCGCACCCTCCATTGGGATGAATATTTGCCTGGATAGAAAATTACAGATTTACATTGTTTTCCTTCAACTCCTGAAAAGTATTCGCTGCACCATCATCTGCACCCAGTGTTGCCACCAGAAAGCCATATAAGCCTTCCTGCAGAAATGATTTGGATTTTTCTTTCTTTTAGGCATTTTTGAAATTCATTCGTTTGTGACCAGGTGTAGATTTTTCCTGTTCAGCCTAAAGAACACTATGGGTCTGAGAGCTCTTTCATCTTTAAACATATGAAATTTATCTTTATGATTTCTTACAAATATTTCCTCCTCTCCCTTCTCATGTTCCCCTCAAGTAGGGCCTGGATTCTTCATGCTTTCTCACTTCTGGAAGAGTCTCCAATGTTTTGTTCCTCTTTTCTAATTTCTCTTGTGTCTGTTCTGCTGTATTTCCCACTTGCCATATTCCTTCAGCTATTGCATATTTTTCTTAATTAATATTCATTGCATT